AAAACACTTAGTACTACTACTGTAGTGCTAGTTGCTGCTGCTGCTGCTGTGGCTGCTGCTGCTACTACTACAACTACTACTACAGATAGACTTTACGTTATGCTCTGGATTATTGTTCGTCTGCACTCTTGTGGTTCTACTGTTTGGGATTGCTGTCGCCCTGACGTATGCCTTCGCTCACATCGACCAGTTCACTGCAAGGGTACGTGTGTGTGTGTGTTTCTGTGTGTGTTTGTCTGTTTGTGTGTGTGTATCTGTGTGTCTGTTTGTGTGTGTGTGTGTATCTGTGTGTGTGTTTCTGTGTGTGTGTGTCTGGTGTCTGTGTGTGTCTGGTGTCTTTGTGTGTCTGGTGTCTGTGTGTTTACGTTTGTGTGTCTGTGCGTGTGATTAAGTTTGTGTGTCTAAGTTTGTGTGTCTGTGAGTGTTTAAGTTTGTGTGTCTAAGTTTGTGTGTCAGTGAGTGTTTAAGTTTGTGTGTCTTTGTGTGTACGTTTGTGTGTCTGTGTGTACGTATGTGTGTCTGTGTGAGTACATTTGTGTGTGTGTTTGTGTGTGTGTGTGTATGTCTGTGTGTGTGTGTGTGTAATATATTGTATTATTCAGAAGTTAGCTTGCAGTATATAATTCACTTGAGTGTATGATTGAATGAATTAGTAAATGGATGAATGAGGAGTTAATGAATGAATAATCGATTGATTGAATAAAAGATTTGATGAATAAGGATGATAATAATAAAGTAATGATAATAATACCAATACAATACATGTACTGCAGGTACTACAATGCGTGTATGGTTCGGTCTGTGCGCTACTTTTCTCAATGGTAAAGTCATTATTATCATGGAATATAATATGTAAAAAATAGTTATGTATTCATTCATTCATTCGTTTGTTCGTTCATTCGTTCATTCGTTCGTTCGTTCGTTCATCAATTTGTACATTCCTTTGTTTGTTTATTAATTCTGTATCGATTACTTAATTTATTTGGTTTTTTTTATATTATCAATCAACCATTCATTCATTCATTCGTTCGTTCACTCAATCATTCATTCAATCATCCATCTCTCCATCCATTCATCCATCTTTCCATTCATTTATCCATTTTAACCATCTATCCATTCAATTCATTCAGTATCTCGTTTTTGATACGCAACTGTTAATGGGCGACAAATCGAACAGAATAAGCGAAGAGGAGTATATATACGCTGCCCTACAATTGTACCTAGACATGGTGCAGATCTTCTTGGCCATCTTACAAATTGCCGGGGCTGTTAAGAACTAGTCGCTGTCTAGACGTCTGTGGTGTCTAGCGGTGGAGGGTGTCTAAACGTGGGTGATGTTGTCAAGACGCTGGTGATAATGTCTAGACTCGAGTGATAAGTTAACTCGGACTTGATGGACGTTTGACTTGAATTATTTTATTTTGAATATCACCTGAATTGATGGTGGATGTCGTGTAGACTAGACACTGGTGATTTAATATTTTAAATTCTTTCCTGTCTAGACGTGACAATTGTTGACGTTGTCTAGACATTGATGTTATAATATTTAGAATTTTTTTTGAATTCTCTTTTGTTTCAACTTAAAAATCAAGGATGTATGTATATTCTAGTGTCTAGAATCTAGACATTAATGTTATGTTATTTCAAATTCTATTCAGTTTAGACAAAAAATTATAATTTTTTATGATTCATTCTTTCTAGAAATGAGAAATTAATATTTATTACTACCATGTCTGAAAATATGTTAAAAGAATTAATTTATTTTATATCATACTACAGGTTATTAGTAAAGAAAATGTATTATGTAACAAACATGCTTCTATGTAAATAATTCTCATCATTAATTCATATAATCTCTTATTCATTTATTCCTTTACTTATTCATTCCTTCGTTTATCTATCCACTCTTCCATCATTTATTCATTCCTTCATTCATTCATTGGTTTTAATCATTATCACAATCGTCGTCAATGAATGTTTAGGCTTCATAATGATGTTACACTCACTTTATTTTATTTTTTTTGGCTTTATTCATTCCATATTCGACTAATTCTCTTTCTTTCTTTCTTTCTTTCTCTCTCTCTCTCTCTCTCTCTATATATATATATATATAATATACAGTTGAAAAAAGTTATATAAGCTTTTGTTATTTAATTAACCGACCGTATATAATTTTTTTAAAATAAATAAATGTATTAAATAACTATTATGTAGTTCAACCTTTCAATCTATCAGTCATTCATTCTTTCAATAGATCGATCGAGCGACGATTCATTCCTTCTTCAATTTATTAATTCATACATTCATTCATCTAGGCCTTCGTCAATAAGCCATTCATTTGTTTGTTCATTCGTTCGTTCGTACATCCATCCATTCATTCATTCTTTTATTTATTATTCACTCGGAGATTTTCGAAATCTTCTAAAAATCTTGAGTGTGAGTTGAATAGGCGGGAATCAACACACTCACACTACGGTGATGACTTTGCGTTTGAACATGGGCACTGTGGCAGAGCAGGAAAAGACTCAAATGAAGCTTCAAAACAACAAGAGAAATCTGTGGAGGAAAAATTTTCAGTATTAATTTCCCTGAAAACCAAGAAAAAAAATATGAAGACAGGTTGTTTATACAAGACTATAAGTGCAATGATGAAAGGTTTGAATGGCAGTGGGGGTTTGTATTCCGTTATTATTATTTCGTTATTATTATTTTTTAATATTATTATTATTGTCGTTTAGGAAAACAATCCCAAAATCAACTAAATTTGTATAAGTACTTCAGCCTGTGTGTGTGTGTGTGTGTTTGTGTGTGTTAATGTATATATGAGTTTTTGTAGTATTTGTGTGTTTTTTTATGTAAAGTGTTTTAAAAATAGCTATCTCTAGTGCATTTAACGTTAATTTAATGAAGGAAAAATTTAAGTTCATTTCACTACTACTACTACCACCACTACTACTACTGCTGCTACTACTACTACTACTGCTGCAACTACTGCTACTACTACTACTGCTGCTACTACTACTAAAATTAATACTAATACTATTAATATTATTATTAATAATAACAAAAATACTAATAATTGTTGTTGTTATTATTATTTTTATTGAGATAATAAACACACTCAACTAGAAAAAATCATACACGAACACAGTGGGCTGGCATTTTTGTGTTATTACTTTTGGCGTGTTTCTCGAAACATTAACTGGTGTTTTTTGTTGCAAAGTGATGACTTTATTATTCTTTATTATTATTATTATTATAATTAAAAGTAGTAGCAGCAGCAGTAGTAATAGTTTTAGAGCAGTAGTAGTAGTAGAAGCAGCAGCAGTAGTAGCAGTACTATACTACTATGGTTATTATTAGTAATAGTTGTAGTAGTAATAGTAGTAGTAAAAGAAGTAGCAGTCGTAGCTGCAGCATTATTAGTCTGATCATTATTATCAGTGCGGAATTTAGGGAGGTCCGTTGGTTTAGGGCTAACAAAAGTTATGATGCAAAAATTGTGCAATAAATGAAAACAAAATGTCGCCATGTTTTTGCTTGGGCTTTCCCGTCAGTTTTCCAGATCCATCATTGGTTATGATTATTAATAATATTACAGTGTTTTTTCCCTGTTTTTTATTATTATTACTGTTGTTACTATCAATAATATTGTTATTATTATTATTGAACTTTTCGAACTTATTCCAGAGTGATATAAAGAATGAAGTTTAGCTTAAAGTTAATTTTGGTACTGAAAAAATTTACAAAAAAGAAAGTCGAAATTGGAACATTAAAAGCAGAATCAAGTTCCAAAAAATTCTTTTTTGTTCTTTTGCAGGTGATCTTAACAACAAAAATAATAATTAAAAATAATAATAATAATAATAATAAAACAATATATAATAACAATAAATATGATCATAATATAGATGAGGTTTATATAAACAGCTACTTTTGAGGCCAAACAAAGTTTGTTTATAAAAAGCAAAATCATTACCTATGTACCCATCATATAAAAATGTTGCTTATAGAACTCATATAAAATTATGCTGAAATAAACACACATAAACAAGCACACATACACATAATCATGAACATACACATGAACACGCACACACACATACTCATACACATAACCACACATACGCACACACATAAATAAACAAATTCTTCTCATTACTACGTACTTCTGTGGCAGTTTATCGATAAATGGTATTTTTAAATATAAATAAAATAAATAAGCATGTGTATATATAAAAATACAAATATATATAAATATATTATATATATATATATATATATATATTTTTACAATATTCTATAAATTCTACCGAATGTTTGGCGTTAATATTCAATACCATTGTTAGAATCTGTTTTGTAGGATTATAATTA